TACGTAAACATTATTACTCGTTGAGAAGTCTCAGGTTACGGGCGAACGGAAGTGAAGTTAACCTGCTACGCGGAAAGGCGGAAGTTAGATGACGTCATCGTGAAAAGGGCCTATACTGACTGGGACTATGGCGCTGCCCATGCTAAAATAGGCTTTTGGGCACTAGAGTCCTCTATCTATGTCTATGGGTGCGGCGTCTGTCTCCATGGTAAACAAACATGGCGGTGTCTGGTGAGTGGGAGTAGTTTTCATAAATGTGTAGAAAAGTTGTGAACGATAAATGTCTATGGTTATTAATCGCATGTCATAATGTGCATATGATTTGAGCTTTCCGTTTCAAGATAATTGACTTTAGTAGGCTTAGCATGGGAGAAGTAACGTTATCTACTAACTAGCTAGCTAGCCAGTTAGCTAGCTATCTAACGTCAGCTAGCTAACATGTTGATGTTCAAGCAAGTGTGCCAGTCAGACATTTTGGATATACGTCACTGTAAGCCTGTAGATAATTGATATGGAATGGGATAATTTAGAAGAATTGTTTAACTGCTCATTTGTCTCATTCTTGCAGGAAAACATCCAATTGTATCCTTTTATTTTTGTTGTAATGTTGAATCTGCATCAACTGCATTTAATAGCTAGCTAACGTTAACGTCAGCTATTTAATTAGTCACTGTGGCAGTTAACGTTAATGTGCATCCCAATATGACTCTTTATTCCTTATATAGTGCACTACTTCTGAGCAGGGTCCTATGGGTCCTGGTCAAAAGTAATACACCATAGGGAATACGGTGCCGATTTCAGACACAGTATTAGGGACGTCAAAGCCAAGGTTCAGGCTGCTGCACAGTCACAATGGAAGCTCTAGTCAAGAGCAGGGGTAAGCCATTTTTTGTGTGTGCCCCTTTTGTGATAGCGGATTCATTAGGGACCCCCTCATAACTCGAGTGACATAAAAATAGCATACAAGGAGCTATGACTATGGCTGGATGAACCAAGTCTCGGGCTCTGGGAGGGAACATTGTGAAGGCCCACCTCTTGGCATCGAGAGAAGATGTTGGGTTTTTTCAAGCTAATATCCTGCAATTCTACACAATATGCCACGAGGCAGAGAGAAAACGTTGCAGTTTTAAAGCTAGAGTCCTTAATTGAAACGATAACAAAGTGGACACCCCGCCTCTGTTTTAGTAAAAAGCTGAGGGATGGGAGAAATGTAACCAATGAAATTCATCGACAGAGCAATGGATTCCAGGACTGACCATCCATGATACATCAGTTATAGTTTCACCAATGTTTTGAGTCTATACAGTGTTTTGTTTTAAGCAGTAAGCCCCGAGGGGGTGTGGTATATTGGCCATATATCACAAACCCCAGAGGTGCCTTATTACTATTATAAACTGTTTACCAATGTAATTAGAGCAGTAAAAACAAGTGTTTTGTCATACCCGTGGTATACGGTCTGATATAGTCTCCTGTAGCTCAGTTGGTAGAGCATGGCGCTTGCAACGCCAGGGTTGTGGGTTCATTTCCCCCGGGGGGCCAGTATGAAAATGTATGTACTCACTAACTGTAAGTCGCTCTGGATAAGAGCGTCTGCTAAATGACTAAAATGTAAATATACCACGGCTGTCAGCCAATCAACATTCAGGGCTCAAACCACCCAGTTTATAATTAGATTTGCATTGTTTACAAACATTAGAGTAAAACAAGCTATTTTGGGTTCTGATGGGGTACAACAGTTGAACTAAGCTCATAAGTTATATTCTTCAATAATCGATGGGTATATCATGGTATTCCATACCAAAAATGCATGTAGCAACTCAGGATTCAAGCTGTAAATTACAGTGCATTTATGAAAAAAAAAAGATAAATATTAAGTTGGAAAATGTATAATTGTTGGAGCACTGGATACCAATGTCCCAGTGAGCCTCCCAGGCCCATGTTGCCCAGGGTTAAGAACAGAAATTGTAGATTAATATTATCACATTGTGTTGTATTACACCCTCTTAACTTATTCCATAGATCCCTTTGCCAAAATTATTTTAATCTGTTGTTAGAAATTTTCATATTTTTTTTTTTTTATGGAATTATTTTTTAAATATATATATACAGTACCTGTCAAAAGTTTGGACACACCTACTCATTCCAGGGTTTTTCTTTATTTTTACTATTTTCTACATTGTAGAATAATAGTGAAGACATCAAAACTATGAACTATGGAATCATGTAGTAACCCAAAAAGTGTTAAACAAATCAAAATATATATTATATTTGAGATTCTTCAAATAGCCACCCTTTGCCTTGATGACAGCTTTGCACACTCTTGGCATTCTCTCAACCAGCTTAATGAGGAATGCTTTTCCAACAGTCTTGAAGGAATTCCCACATATGCTGAGCACTTGTTGGCTGCTTTTCCTTCACTCTGCGGTCCAACTCATCCCAAACCATCTCAATTGGGTTGAGGTCGGGTGATTGTGGAGGCCAGGTCATCTGATGTAGCACTCCATCATTCTCCTTCTTGGTCAAATAGCCCTGACACAGTCTGGAGGTAAGTTGGGTCATTGTCCTGTTGAAAAACAAATCTCAGATTCCGTGTGGCCTTTGAATAGTGTTAGTTTAAACAGCGCATACACCCCAAACATTTGCCCCTTATTCTATTAATTTCAACGTGATATCAATGGAAGTGATAAAAACATAATAATAATTGCATTACGCTTATCGTATTGTCGACCCACTTGAATCAAAATGCAACACTTCAAAATGTAGCTAGGTGTCTTCTACAAATTTTACTCTAACCAGTGATATACAGTGGGGAGAACAAGTATTTGATACACTGCCGATTTTGCAGGTTTTCCTACTTACAAAGCATGTAGAGGTCTGTAATTTTTATCATAGGTACACTTCAACTGTGAGAGACGGAATCTAAAACAAAAATCCAGAAAATCACATTGTATGATTTTTAAGTAATTAATTTGCATTTTATTGCATGACATAAGTATTTGATCACCTACCAACCAGTAAGAATTCCGGCTCTCACAGACCTGTTAGTTTTTCTTTAAGAAGCCCTCCTGTTCTCCACTCATTACCTGTATTAACTGCACCTGTTTGAACTCGTTACCTGTATAAAAGTCACCTGTCCACACACTCAATCAAACAGACTCCAACCTCTCCACAATGGCCAAGACCAGAGAGCTGTGTAAGGACATCAGGGATAAAATTGTAGACCTGCACAAGGCTGGGATGGGCTACAGGACAATAGGCAAGCAGCTTGGTGAGAAGGCAACAACTGTTGGCGCAATTATTAGAAAATGGAAGAAGTTCAAGATGACGGTCAATCACCCTCGGTCTGGGGCTCCATGCAAGATCTCACCTCGTGGGGCATCAATGATCATGAGGAAGGTGAGGGATCAGCCCAGAACTAAACGGCAGGACCTGGTCAAGGACCTGAAGAGAGCTGGGACCACAGTCTCAAAGAAAACCATTAGTAACACACTACGCCGTCATGGATTAAAATCCTGCAGCGTACGCAAGGTCCCCCTGCTCAAGCCAGCGCATGTCCAGGCCCGTCTGAAGTTTGCCAATGACCATCTGGATGATCCAGAGGAGGAATGGGAGAAGGTCATGTGGTCTGATGAGACAAAAATAGAGCTTTTTGGTCTAAACTCCACTCGCCGTGTTTGGAGGAAGAAGAACGATGAGTACAACCCCAAGAACACCATCCCAACCGTGAAGCATGGAGGTGGAAACATAATTATTTGGGGATGCTTTTCTGCAAAGGGGACAGGACGACTGCACCGTATTGAGGGGAGGATGGATGGGGCCATGTATCGCGAGATCTTGGCCAACAACCTCCTTCCCTCAGTAAGAGCATTGAAGATGGGTCGTGGCTGGGTCTTCCAGCATGACAACGACCCGAAACACACAGCCAGGGCAACTAAGGAGTGGCTCCGTAAGAAGCATCTCAAGCCCCGAAACCTGAAGGATCTGGAGAAGGTCTGTATGGAGGAGTGGGCCAAAATCCCTGCTGCAGTGTATGCAAACCTGGTCAAGACCTACAGGAAACGTATGATCTCTGTAATTGCAAACAAAGGTTTCTGTACCAAATATTAAGTTCTGCTTTTCTGATGTATCAAATACTTATGTCATGCAATAAAATGGAAATTAATTACTTAAAACTCATACAATGTGATTTTCTGGATTTTCTGGACCTCTACATGCTTTGTAAGTAGGAAAACCTGCAAAATCGGCAGTGTATCAAATACTTGTTCTCCCCACTGTACACATTATTCCCAGATTCTGTGTGGTTTCTGAGCTTTGTTAGTTTTAACAGGACGTGCAACCTCATATCCCCCCCTCTCAAACTATTGATTTCAACGTGATAATCGATAGGAGTGATTGACAACAGTTTTGCGTTTCTCTTTCTGTTGGTGACCCCTGTATCAAAATGCAACATTCCACAATGTAGCTGACTGTCTTTTGCAGGTTGTTCTCGAACCAGTGATGTAAAATTATCTCCAGTTTCCATGTGGTTTTTGAGTTGTGGTAGTTTCAACAGAACATCCAACTTGATTTCACCCCTAATCGATATGAGTGATTTATTGTTAAAACAGGGTATTTTGTGCATGTGCAGTTTATAAGGTGCTCGTAAAAAAAATAAAAATAAAAGTAATATGATTACTATTGTTACACATTTATGTGTAGATAGTACATTTTATGTTTAGGTTTTCAATATATCACAAACTGTTTCTGCATGTTGGTTAACTGTGTTTTTTATCAAAATGTCATGTCAACAGGAAGCAGCGACAGCATAATTTTCAGGAATGTAAAACTTTCAACATTAATTTCCAATGGTATTGGACTTAATCAGGTAAAAACTGCTGAGTGGGTCCAAAAATGTACTGTGATTTATTTATATTGATGATATAGGCTACCAGAAATCACCAAAAAGGGTTTTCCCTGCCTACTCATATCATAGCCCCTTGGTTATATCATCTGCCAGTGGGCTACCATTTGTAAGTCTGAGATATGACCTTAACAACACAGCTCAGTTGTCCTCCACACCACTGCAGGTCCTGTTCTACCTCAACTGCTGGTATTTTGCTGCCTACTTCCTTGCTGAGGGTCTGATGTTTGTTTACAAAGGTTTGTAGTCTACTCAAATGGCCACACAAAAAACATAAACTAATGTTTAATCAATCACTCACTGCCTGATGTTTTGTAAACCCAGTGTCAGGCTAAAAGCAAAACTATTGATTTCTAAATATGCCTATGTATTTCCACAGGATTGTTGCTACCATACCCACCGGCTAGTCTCACGTTGGACGTTGGGCTACTACTTGTTTTTCTCGGCCTGGAGTCCCTCCGAATATTTTACGGTTTGTGTTTTGTTAAGCTGTATTCTGGGCTACCGGTATGCCTCTGCATCATCACATGGTGTAGATTAATACACGTGTTCATTAAAATAAGATTCTTCACATTATGTAGCCTACATTTTGTGTTTATCACTTGTCATATTTGTTGCCTTTATGGCATCTGGTAGTTATATTTGGCACATACTGTAGGTTAACGTTTTTTCCGTCCACACTTGTCCCAGGTTGGAAGGGGAACTTAACAGAGCGTTCTCTGGCCATGTCAGTGAGTGTGCTGGTCCTGGTGCCGTGCACGGTGATGTCTGTGTATTACCTGATGCTGCAGACCTTCGTCCTGCGCCTGGAGTTCATCCTTAATGCTGTGTTACTCTGCTTCTACAGTCTGGAGATGCTGCTGGGAATCATGTCCATATCTGCTTTCTCCAGGTAGGAGAAACATGACATAGCCTGGGTACCAGTCTGTTTCTCCAGGTAGGAGAAACATGACATAGCCTGGGTACCAGTCTCTTTCTCCAGGTAGGAGAAACATGACATAGCCTGGGTACCAGTCTCTTTCCCCAGGTAGGAGAAACATGGCCTAGCCTGGGTACCAGTCTCTTTCTCCAGGTAGGAGAAACATGACATAGCCTGGGTACCAGTCTCTTTCTCCAGGTAGGAGAAACATGACATAGCCTGGGTACCAGTCTCTTTCTCCAGGTAGGAGAAATATGACATAGCCTGGGTACCAGTCTCTTTCCCCAGGTAGGAGAAACATGACATAGCCTGGGTACCAGTCTCTTTCTCCAGGTAGGAGAAACATGACATAGCCTGGGTACCAGTCTCTTTCTCCAGGTAGGAGAAACATGACATAGCCTGGGTACCAGTCTCTTTCTCCAGGTAGGAGAAACATGACATAGCCTGGGTACCAGTCTCTTTCCCCAGGTAGGAGAAACATGACACAGCCTGGGTACCAATCTGTTTCTCCAGTTAGGAGAAACATGACATAGCCTGGGTACCAGTCTGTTTCTCCAGGTAGGAGAAACATGACATAGCCTGGGTACCAGTCTCTTTCCCCAGGTAGGAGAAACATGACACAGCCTGGGTACCAGTCTGTTTCTCCAGTTAGGAGAAACATGACATAGCCTGGGTACCAGTCTGTTTCTCCAGGTAGGAGAAACATGACATAGCCTGGGTACCAGTCTCTTTCCCCAGGTAGGAGAAACATGACATGACATAGCCTGGGTACCAGTCTCTTTCTCCAGGTAGGAGAAACATGACATGACATAGTCTGGGTACCAGTCTCTTTCTCCAGGTAGGAGAAACATGACATAGCCTGGGTACCAGTCTGTTTCTCCAGGTAGGAGAAACATGACATAGCCTGGGTACCAGTCTCTTTCCCCAGGTAGGAGAAACATGACATAGCCTGGGTACCAGTCTCTTTCTCCAGGTAGGAGAAACATGACATAGCCTGGGTACCAGTCTCTTTCTCCAGGTAGGAGAAACATGACATGACATAGTCTGGGTACCAGTCTCTTTCTCCAGGTAGGAGAAACATGACATAGTCTGGGTACCAGTCTCTTTCCCCAGGTAGGGGAAACATGACATAGCCTGGGTACCAGTCTCTTTCTCCAGGTAGGAGAAACATGACATAGCCTGGGTACCAGTCTCTTTCTCCAGGTAGGAGAAACATGACATGACATAGTCTGGGTACCAGTCTCTTTCTCCAGGTAGGAGAAACATGACATAGTCTGGGTACCAGTCTCTTTCCCCAGGTAGGGGAAACATGACATAGCCTGGGTACCAGTCTCTTTCTCCAGGTAGGAGAAACATGACATGACATAGTCTGGGTACCAGTCTCTTTCTCCAGGTAGGAGAAACATGACATAGTCTGGGTACCAGTCTCTTTCCCCAGGTAGGAGAAACATGACATAGCCTGGGTACCAGTCTCTTTCCCCAGGTAGGAGAAACATGACATAGCCTGGGTACCAGTCTCTTTCTCCAGGTAGGAGAAACATGACATAGCCTGGGTACCAGTCTCTTTCCCCAGGTAGGAGAAACATGGCCTAGCCTGGGTACCAGTCTCTTTCTCCAGGTAGGAGAAACATGACATAGCCTGGGTACCAGTCTCTTCCTCCAGGTAGGAGAAACATGACATAGCCTGGGTACCAGTCTCTTTCTCCAGGTAGGAGAAATATGACATAGCCTGGGTACCAGTCTCTTTCCCCAAGTAAGGAGAACATGACATAGCCTGGGTACCAGTCTCTTTCTCCAGGTAGGAGAAACATGACATAGCCTGGGTACCAGTCTCTTTCTCCAGGTAGGAGAAACATGACATAGCCTGGGTACCAGTCTCTTTCTCCAGGTAGGAGAAACATTACATAGCCTGGGTACCAGTCTCTTTCTCCAGGTAGGAGAAACATGACATAGCCTGGGTACCAGTCTCTTTCTCCAGGTAGGAGAAACATGTCATAGCCTGGGGACCAGTCTGTTTCTCCAGTTAGGAGAAACATGACATAGCCTGGGTACCAGTCTGTTTCTCCAGGTAGGAGAAACATGACATAGCCTGGGTACCAGTCTCTTTCCCCAGGTAGGAGAAACATGACACAGCCTGGGTACCAGTCTGTTTCTCCAGTTAGGAGAAACATGACATAGCCTGGGTACCAGTCTGTTTCTCCAGGTAGGAGAAACATGACATAGCCTGGGTACCAGTCTCTTTCCCCAGGTAGGAGAAACATGACATAGCCTGGGTACCAGTCTCTTTCTCCAGGTAGGAGAAACATGACATGACATAGTCTGGGTACCAGTCTCTTTCTCCAGGTAGGAGAAACATGACATAGCCTGGGTACCAGTCTGTTTCTCCAGGTAGGAGAAACATGACATAGCCTGGGTACCAGTCTCTTTCCCCAGGTAGGAGAAACATGACATAGCCTGGGTACCAGTCTCTTTCTCCAGGTAGGAGAAACATGACATAGCCTGGGTACCAGTCTCTTTCTCCAGGTAGGAGAAACATGACATGACATAGTCTGGGTACCAGTCTCTTTCTCCAGGTAGGAGAAACATGACATAGTCTGGGTACCAGTCTCTTTCCCCAGGTAGGGGAAACATGACATAGCCTGGGTACCAGTCTCTTTCTCCAGGTAGGAGAAACATGACATGACATAGTCTGGGTACCAGTCTCTTTCTCCAGGTAGGAGAAACATGACATAGTCTGGGTACCAGTCTCTTTCCCCAGGTAGGAGAAACATGACATAGCCTGGGTACCAGTCTCTTTCCCCAGGTAGGAGAAACATGACATAGCCTGGGTACCAGTCTCTTTCTCCAGGTAGGAGAAACATGACATAGCCTGGGTACCAGTCTCTTTCCCCAGGTAGGAGAAACATGGCCTAGCCTGGGTACCAGTCTCTTTCTCCAGGTAGGAGAAACATGACATAGCCTGGGTACCAGTCTCTTCCTCCAGGTAGGAGAAACATGACATAGCCTGGGTACCAGTCTCTTTCTCCAGGTAGGAGAAATATGACATAGCCTGGGTACCAGTCTCTTTCCCCAAGTAAGGAGAACATGACATAGCCTGGGTACCAGTCTCTTTCTCCAGGTAGGAGAAACATGACATAGCCTGGGTACCAGTCTCTTTCTCCAGGTAGGAGAAACATGACATAGCCTGGGTACCAGTCTCTTTCTCCAGGTAGGAGAAACATGACATAGCCTGGGTACCAGTCTCTTTCTCCAGGTAGGAGAAACATGACATAGCCTGGGTACCAGTCTCTTTCTCCAGGTAGGAGAAACATGTCATAGCCTGGGGACCAGTCTTTTTCCCCAGGTAGGAGAAACATGACATTACATAGCCTGGGTACCAGTCTCTTTCCCCAGGTAGGAGAAACATAACATAGCCTGGGTACCAGTCTCTTTCTCCAGGTAGGAGAAACATGACATAGCCTGGGTACCAGTCTCTTTCTCCAGGTAGGAGAAACATGGCATAGCCTGGGTACCAGTCTCTTTCTCCAGGTAGGAGAAACATGGCCTAGCCTGGGTACCAGTCTCTTTCTCCTCTCTTGCCGTCTCCTTATGGAATTTACATTTAAAGGGTTGGCAAGAGAGCAGAAACAAACTGGAGGCATACTATAGAGAGGCATGACATGCCCTTCTTTCTGGACTGGGGAGATTCCTTGGTTTTAGGCCTCATCAATTGTTGATTATTGATCAATGAATGTATTATGCTTTGCTCTTAACCTGTGACCTTGCATAACATTTCACTGTAAAGGTACTATATCAGTGATGCTGGATGTGAACTTGCATAACATTTCACTGTAAAGGTCCTATATCAGTGATGCTGGATGTGAACTTGCATAACGTTTCACTGTAAAGGTCGTATATCAGTGATGCTGGATGTGAACTTGCATAACATTTCACTGTAAAGGTCCTATATTAGTGATGCTGGATGTGAACTTGCATAATATTTCACTGTAAAGGTCCTATATTAGTGATGCTGGATGTGAACTTGCATAACATTTCACTGTAAAGGTCCTATATCAGTGATGCTGGATGTGAACTTGCATAACGTTTCACTGTAAAGGTCCTATATCAGTGATGCAGGATGTGAACTTGCATAACGTTTCACTGTAAAGGTCCTATATCAGTGATGCTGGATGTGAACTTGCATAACATTTCACTGTAAAGGTCCTATATTAGTGATGCTGGATGTGAACTTGCATAACTTTTCACTGTAAAGGTCCTATATCAGTGATGCTGGATGTGAACTTGCATAACGTTTCACTGTAAAGGTCCTATATCAGTGATGCTGGATGTGAACTTGCATAACGTTTCACTGTAAAGGTCCTATATCAGTGATGCTGGATGTGAACTTGCATAACGTTTCACTGTAAAGGTCCTATATCAGTGATGCTGGATGTGAACTTGCATAACATTTCACTGTAAAAGTCCTATATTAGTGATGCTGGATGTGAACTTGCATAACGTTTCACTGTAAAAGTCCTATATTAGTGATGCTGGATGTGAACTTGCATAACGTTTCACTGTAAAGGTCCTATATTAGTGATGCTGGATGTGAACTTGCATAACGTTTCACTGTAAAGGTCCTATATCAGTGATGCTGGATGTGAACTTGCATAACGTTTCACTGTAAAGGTCCTATATCAGTGATGCTGGATGTGAACTTGCATAACGTTTCACTGTAAAGGTTCTATATCAGTGATGCTGGATGTGACCTTGCATAACGTTTCACTGTAAAGGTCCTATATCAGTGATGCTGGATGTGACCTTGCATAACATTTCACTGTAAAGGTCCTATATCAGTGATGCTGGATGTGACCTTGCATAACGTTTCACTGTAAAGGTCCTATATCAGTGATGCTGGATGTGACCTGATCTGCTCAGTGTTTCATGCTCATCAGTTTTTCCTCCATTTTGCTTGTCAGGTCTAAGGTGTACTAAGGAAGATGAATGCTGTAATGTTCCACATCGTTTCAAGAGGAATGTAGAAAGGCTTTTCACCAGGATGGTTCTGTCAACAGATGTTCATCCCACATGTTGTAGTTTTACTGTTTTTATATGATCTGTTAATAGCCTAATATTCATATTTTTGTAATGATGAAATGTCACCTTTTACTACCTGTTTTTGTATCAATTGTCAATCTTGTGTGGTACTAGCAACACTAATGGAATTGTCTTATGAGGGTATTCCGTGTGCTGTACCTGATAATGGAATGTATTTGTTGTTGTTGATTCAAAACACTATATTTCATTATTTACTTAATAAAAACAATTCCTAATTCCTTCATTCACCAGAGGACTTTTTTCCTCGAGAGTCATTTATATTCCTGATTTGCTGAATCCCACCAGCAGCCTATGGTTAAACCCAGATCCTAATTGCATAGAACAGGGATATTGAACAAATCTGTGTTGTTGAGTATTCTGAAGCAAAGATGGTACATTGTTGTCCTTCTGCAGAGAGATGGCCAGTTATTATTATGTATTTGTTTACATTTAGCAGTTGAAGACATTGAATGAAACGTTTAGCCTAATTACAATGGACAATCAATCTGATTGGGTGGAGCTTTTCATGTTCATCAGCAAATGTGGACGAATACGAAATGAGGATGCATGCGCAATAAACCCAGAGTAGGTGGGGGGCGAAGGGAGGGGGGACCGGGGCAGGCGATGCTGTCAGCGAAAGGATCCTGTGTGCCTGAGTAGAAGTAACGGTCTTGACCATCCCATGGAGACATAAAATGATATTTATTTCTAAGGCGTATCAGCGGACTTGCCGGTTGTTGTTAGAAGTAGCCTAGTTATTTTCTTTCTATAATACGTTATTATACAGGCCAAGATTAGTTATCTGCCGGGTTTAATCATGCTACCGTCTTCATCATCGGGGCTGGTGCAGATGGAGGGATGTGGGGAAGAGGCGAGGGATACCCAGAAAGTGCAGGTAATAGATGCTCTTCTGTTGTATTTTAGACCTTTTCCCAAGATTACAGAAGTAACATAGTAGACATAATGAGGTCAAGGTGACACGTTTTTATTTTTCCATGCAAATGTTTGTGCCGGCCGGCTTCTTCGGCTGAGAGAAATCAAAGGGCCGACCCCTCCCAAAATCTCGCTGTTCTTGCCATTGCTAGGAAAACCCGGTGTCGGAAAGATTTTGGCAGCTAGATTATTTTTTGGATCCGTAGCTGGATACACTAAAAATAATGATTGGATCTCAGTTGAACAAACCAGATTAGAGGCTTGGTTATTAGGAGCATCATAATCTATTTTATTGGTAATTTTATCACAATGTTTTTTAAAATATATTTCTGTACTACATAATTTGTTGTTTCTAGAAATTAATCCTATGCACTATAAATCTATGCCCTATAAATTAATTATGTCAGGCCTTGACTAAAGGGTCCCACCAAGTAGGCCTATCCTATTTCTTAAACCGTAGCATATTTTAAAGTATTTATAAAGAAAATTATATTTCAAGCATGATTACACAGTGCTACTACTGTTTTAATAAAATAAAAAAATGTGTGGGCCACATGCTTTAACAATATGCTAGTCAAGGCAATTTCTGATCAGAAAGTCCCTGGGAGAGCTAGGGGCCTTGCAGAAATACACAGATGTTAGGGAAGAGCTTCCTTTGGCTGTTATAGAATAATTGGTAAGAACATGAAAATATACCTCTATCCTGCCTTAATGGATAATGACCCAACATAGGCCACAACAGGGGTGCAACTTTGGTTTTAGAAGTGGGGGGCATAATAATATATACATATATATATATTTTTTTCTCAGTCAGATAAACACTCCAAACAGCCTACCCGACCACTCGGAGGCGTCCGCATGGTCCTAAAGCACACCGTTGCCACGTTTGTATCACATTCCAATGATACAACTGGGGGGGACAAAAATGCAATTTCAGAATGTGGGGGGGATATGTCCCCCCTGTCCCCAGTGAAAGTTGCGCCCCTGGGCCACATACTACCTACTGAATGTACACTGAATTGTAGAAGAACCATTGTTTTCCATGTACTCCAATATCTCAGAGGAACTCTGTATACTCCGACCACCCATTACCTCAAATAATAAGTGGCATAAAGAGTAAACCATGTTGAAGCTGCTCCCTTGTCTGTCCAACAAACTGAAACTATAGGGAGATAGTCGTACAGCAGATCATAGGAGACTGAAACTATAGGGAGATAGTCGTACAGCAGATCATAGGAGACTGAAACTATAGGGAGATAGTCGTACAGCAGATCATAGGAGACTGAAACTATAGGGAGATAGTCCTACAGCAGATCACAGGAGACTGAAACTATAGGGAGATAGTCCTACAGCAGATCATAGGAGACTGAAACTATAGGGAGATAGTTCTACAGCAGATCATAGGAGACTGAAACTATAGGGAGATAGTTCTACAGCAGATGATAGGAGACTGAAACTATAGGGAGATAGTCGTACAGCAGATCATAGGAGACTGAAACTATAGGGAGATAGTCGTACAGCAGATCATAGGAGACTGAAACTATAGGGAGATAGTTCTACAGCAGATCATAGGAGACTGAAACTATAGGGAGATAGTTCTACAGCAGATCATAGGAGACTGAAACTATAGGGAGATAGTTCTACAGCAGATCATAGGAGACTGAAACTATAGGGAGATAGTCCTACAGCAGATCACAAGAGACTGAAACTATAGGGAGATAGTCCTACAGCAGATCATAGGAGACTGAAACTATAGGGAGATAGTCCTACAGCAGATCATAGGAGACTGAAACTATAGGGAGATAGTCCTACAGCAGATCATAGGAGACTGAAACTATAGGGAGATAGTTCTACAGCAGATCATAGGAGACTGAAACTATAGGGAGATAGTTCTACAGCAGATCATAGGAGACTGAAACTATAGGGAGATAGTCCTACAGCAGATCACAGGAGACTGAAACTATAGGGAGATAGTCCTACAGCAGATCACAGGAGACTGAAACTATAGGGAGATAGTCCTACAGCAGATCACAGGAGACTGAAACTATAGGGAGATAGTCCTACAGCAGATCATAGGATATATATATATATATATATGATGGGATGCATAGACATTATGGACAGTATATGGATAGAATATGTAGTATATCTGAATAATACGTGGGATAGAATAGTATATGTCCAGCAATAGTTAAATAGGATGGCCTTGACAAGAATACAGTATATACATATGAAATGGGTAAAACAGTATGTAAACATGATTAAAGTGACCAGAGTTCCATGTCTATGTACATAGGGCAGCAGCTTCTAAGGTGCAGGGTTGAGTAACCGGGTGGTAGCTGGCTAGTGACAGTGACTAAGTTCAGGGCAGGGTACTGGGTGGAGGCCGGCTAGTGATGACTGTTTAACAGTCTGATGGCCTTGAGATAGAAGCTGTTTTTCAGTCTCTCGGTCCCAGCTTTGATGCACCTGTACCGACCTCACCTTCTGGATGGTAGCGGGGTGAACAGGCCGTGGCTCAGGTGGCTGACGTCCTTGATGATCTTCTTGGCCTTCCTGTGACACCGGGTGCTGTACATGTCCTGAAGGGCAGGTAGTTTGCTCCCGGTGATGCGTTGGGCAGACCGCACCACCCTCTGGAGAGCCCTGCGGTTGCGGGCGGTGCAGTTGCCGTACCAGACGGTGATACAGCCTGACAGGATGCTCTCAATGGTGCATCTGTAGAAGTTCGTGAAGGTCTTAGGGGCCAGTTAGTAGAGCACAGCGCTTGCAACGCCAGGGTTGTGGGTTCGATTCCCACGGGGGACCTGTATGAAAATATATGCACTCAGTACTGTAAGTCGCTCTGGATAAGAGCGTCTGCTAAATGACTAAAATGTAGGAGACTGAAACTCTGTGACAGATAGGGACAGTGTGTTGACAGAAGGAAAGTGTCAATGTAATGAGTCCAGTGTCCTATCCATCATACCCTACAACAATGATTAATGGAATCAATTAACTACACTTAAATGGATTGTGCATGGATATCTATTTGTGTTGGTTATTGGTGACTGTGACCTGCATATGATCATATTGTAGAACATGACATACCTGTGACCCCCATTAATTCCTGTTCCTCAGTGCAAGAGACTGGCTGAAGAGAGAGATGAAGCAGAGAGCCAGCTGAAACACATCAAGAGAGGTGAGTCCCAGACTGTGACACATATTACCTCTCTACACACCCCTCTGGTGATGACCGCCTCTCCACACTGGCTCCTGAATGGGTGTGTGTAAGAAGGTATCCCAGTTTCCATGACTACTCAGAGCCTCAGCCAACCATAGTCACGGATTTGTGTTTTGGCGACCCTGCCCAGTTCTTCCTAGCAACATGTAATAAAATACTACCGTAGCTCCATTAACAATTGATTTGGTAAAGAACGAGGTTATAGGGTTGAGTGCTGGAGCGCTGACAGACTGTCTGATATCATCATGCGAGGTAAGAAAGATAATAATCATTCAATATTCAACATTCACAGCTACAGTATAGTGTAGGTTTAAAGTTCAGTGTAGCATTAGCATGACAGGGTTGTTGTCGTCCTACTTACTCACAGCTTTCAGCTAGCTGTCTTTGGGAATGTTGAATTATAGGTTACGTCATCAGCATTTTGTTCAGATGGTTGGCCGGATCATTACAAGTCAAGTTCCTGAAATGCTTCTGCTTGACACTTTTGTAGGATAGGTAAATCATGCTAGTGTTTACCTTTTGAAGTGCAGCGTCAAATCATTTTGCAGTTCTTACACGACCTCATGAAGTTAGATGTGTGCTGACCAGTTTCAGCTTCACAGACACACGGTCTTTAAACAGACAGGTAGCCTATTTTGTTTGCTGGCCTTTAACCTAAACAATAGATAAAGAATGAAAGGTTGCCCTGAATTATGACTGTAGACTCCTAGACACCATAGGAGTCTTCAGCCAGGGCAAAAGGAAAGGTAGTGTCTAGAACGTGTTATTATTACCAGGTCTTATTATAATCAGGGGACTGTGTCTCTCCTCTGTCCCCCTGCTGTGGTTGTCATTCATTCATCTCTCTGGGGAGGAACACAGACACTGATGAGTGCCACAGTCACCAGCCCAAAACCTCGTGTTATTTTCACTGCATTATTCAAATCCTCAATTATGAATGATTCATTACTAGAGAACGAGAGGGGCTGCTCCTGTGTTCTATTGTGGTCCTTCACTCAGAGTGATACTGTATATTTTATAGGTACATTATACTCAAGTCAATATAGGGAAATACGCTTTT